GAATTTACTAACATGTCGACAAATAATACATCCCTTCTTACCCAATAAAAAGCATCAGACTACAAAGAAAGGACCGAAAGTGAATCTCATTGGACTAACAAGATTACGATTTGAGATACAAAAGTTTTGTGTGTGTGCGTGTGTGTGCGTGTGTGTGCGTGTGTGTGCGTGTGTGTGTGTTGTGTGTGTGTGTGTGTGTTGTGTGTGTGCGTGTGCGTGTGTGTGCGTGTGTGTGTGCGTGCCCTTGTATTTGGGCGTGGTACTGTAACCGTCCAGAAACAATAATCCGACCGTTGCCAATTCGATTGTTATGCGCGCAAATTTTGTGGAAAAGAAAATAATTACAACAGGTTTACGAATCTTTATTTCATAATTAAAATATTCCCTCACAAATCGATATGATATACAAGATAGGAGGGAATAAAAAATGTGTTCGGCAAACTTATGTAAAATGGCAGTGGTAAAAAAAAAGAAAAAGATTAGCTACAATATCATCTTTACCAAATCTATGTAATAGAAACTCTATATGTTTTATCCAAAGGCTTTCTTCATTCAACAACTTCTTTTTTGAAATCTTTAGCAGGATTCTTCTTCCTTGCAATTAATACAACTCTCTGACCCACTGTCTTGTGTTGTACAACTTCCTTTCTAAACTTTTCAACAAGTCTTCTCATCCCTTCCTCCCCATCTCCTCCGATTCCCAACCGCTCCCCGATCTCTTCCGAAAATCTCATCAGAATTCCGCACAAATCATCCAACCATCGGATAGCCTCAATGTCACTTATGGATCCTAGTTTTATTTTCTGTGCGGTTACTTGAACACATTCTAGTTGCGGATATGACTCGAGTGTGGGAACAAGTTTAGTGCGTGGAGATGGTGATAGGCCCAAGGATAGTGTTAAATGGTTCAAGGCTGTATTGCGAAAGAAGGAAATATAGAATAAGTAACGAATAAATTGCGTGCTCTACAACACATTCTGCCTGCATACTCCCTTTGATTCTCCTTTTCTCGTCCAACTCACCTTCTTTAATTATCCTTTCACTGTACATTCCCAAATTTGCCAGTTCTAAATCATTTTCAGCGATTTCTATCCATCCTCCAGGCTTTGTAACTCTAATCAATTCCGTCACAACATAGTCCAATTTACTTGTAGGAATACTCAGTCCCATCCCGCTCATATGCACAAAATCGAAATAGTCGTTTTGGAGAGGTAGAGGGAAAAGAGTGTGACACGGGATGAAGGAAGTGTTTGGGGGAGACGTGAGAATGGAAGGCGATGGAAGAGACGTCGAAAATGAGGTACGGTATAATGGCATGGAGGGTGTAGATGGTGGTGAAGATGGGAGGGGAGGGAGTGTTGATTCGTTTGAAATGTATGGAAACGAGTAACAATGAGACAATGAAAGTGAGTCGATTCCGCAAAAGTGAGACCATCTGTATTTGGTTGCGTTCGATAAGACCCAATCACCTCTTACGCAACTGGGAAAAGGGAGGGGGTGTTAGTTAGATATTAGAAAATCCAACTTTCATGTAATGCACTAGTATTAACTTTTTGATTTACTTACCCAACGTCTAATACTCTTGCTTGCCCAGACTCCATTTTTCCTTCCACAGGCGCAGTGAATCCACCTTCGTTTTGTATTCTCATTACTAGTCTTATTATACAATTATCGTCTTCATTTTGCTTCTTGATATTCTTAGAGTCTCCTCTGCTCTCGGCGTTATTCATGGGAGAATTAAGTATTTTTTGCCCCAACGGCAACTGACTTCTATCATTTCTAAACACATTAGGTAGATTTGATTCATTACTTTCGTCCGGGTTCTCCGGACGGTTTATTTTGATTTTGTTTTTGTTCTTGATTTTAGTTTTTACATCGTCTTCGTTGCTACGTAGGTTTATAGTGGATGGTGATAGAGGAGGTTGAAGTATGTACAAGTCTGTTGAAGTGTCGTCTATGGTAGTTCTTGAACAGCAAGAGCCCATTTGGAGGGAGTGCGAGATTTGATGTAAAACGGGTGGGATTAGGAATTTTTTTGGTTCTGGGCTTTTGAATTTTTTCTATGGTAAAACGAGTGGTATTCTTGGCTGGTGCGATAATGGACCTGAGAGAATGTATATTCGATTTTATTCGACAGTGGGCGGTTTGTTCGTTATTTTGTTTCTAATGGCCTTAATGCACCAAGTCCCGATACTATATATCAGTAACAAACATATGACCGAAAACTCTTTGCAAATAGATATTCTTTGAAAGTCATAAATTCGACCATGCATACGAGTAACCCACATATTTATGTAAAAACATTCGGTCCTACTTCTCGCAGGGCTGTGCATTTACGAATTAGATGTACTTCCGTATATGCTTTTTTGACGTAAAATTAGAGTTCATGTGTAGCATATAAGCTATTAATAACAAATGATGAGATTTTGTGGTACCCGCCATTTTGCGAGTTTACCCTTTGCGACGCCTGTTTGTCATTCGTTCTTTTCTTGGCTGATGGCGTCTTATTGGGTAACCTTACCCTGATCGACGAGAAGACCGATAGCGCCCCGATTGTGAGCATATAGATGTGTGTCAAAATAAATAGATAAAGAACAAACAATACGAACCCTGTCTATGTTACGTTGATTAGATAATTGTGGTAGTTACGACGGGTTATTTACAATCATTAAATTACAAATCATTACACCGAGAGGGTGGGGTTAAGATAAGTGTTTAACGGCAATGCGGGTATATCTCTGTCTATAATTTGATATCATTAGAAAGTATGCAATTGATCACAGGTGCTACTTTATCGAGTTTTTGCTTACGAAAGTGCTATAGGATTTATGCCTTTGCAGCTTCGGCGTTTGGATTTATTTGGTAAACAATCCGTACATGAATGAGACTGTACCTGCATCAGCCGGGCATGTGTCAATTCATAACCAGTCTTCTAATGCCGGTCAGAAATTAAAAATTCGATTGTTCGGGAATCCTTAAAAAAGAGGGTTAAACTGCTTATTCATGGTAACAACTAGACCGTTCTACAAGACAATACTTGTCTAATTCGAGGCTTTGATTTTTAAATGCAAACGCTGAGTGTTGTGTCTGGGGTGTCTGGGGTGTCTGGGGTATTACGACAGCTTTCTATAACAGTACTTTTTCTCTGTACAGTGTTTAAAGATAAACAGCTCGTGTAATCTCGGTATGCCATGTCTTATTTCAAGTAAATTTATTCTTTGATTTGGACTAGTCGATACCAAGGCTTAATTACTTGGCTGCTCTATCGGCATCGCCAAATTGACAATTAATTTAAATTGGGTTGCGAATAACAAAAGACTTTTATCCAAATAGTTTAAGTTATTTGAAATAATTTGGCTTGGAGAGAAGATAAATTTAACCTAATTTGTGTTATAATTGCAAATTGTTCAATTAACTTTACTATATTAATACCAACTATTGAGGCAACCTAAAATATAGCGGTTATATGTCTATCATAATTTGAATAGACTGATGAACTCGTAATTAAAAAAAGTCTTACGTCGGTTGTACAACTACAAGCGCAAGTCTAGGCCATTCAATTGACGTAATTAATATCATGTCCTCTGGGGGGGGGAAGTTTGAATTTGTGTAAACCCCTTAAATATACCAAACGACAAAACTCAGGAGTGGTCAAGTCTATTAAAATGTCGCATATTACTTGAATTAACTTTGCAGATCAATGGCATTCAATAACATTTATCCTGAGCTTGTTAAATTAATATTGTTGTTTCGATTTCGGACAAATAGTCGAGGGTTATACGATTGCGCAGACAATTGACAATCATATGTACCAATTTATGAACGTTAGAGGTTAAAAACACGTGATAGGTTAATACATATCATGAGTACAAATTACTATTCGGTGTGTTCGGAACGATCTGAGGCAAAGCCCGCATAAATGTTGTACGAATTACTTTTTTGAGACAGTTCATGTTTATGTAATCGGAGATTAGCCTAATCAAGCGCCATAGCTTGGAAATGTACCGATATCATGTAACACGATGCGCTTACATAGCCATAATCAGAACAAGTAAAAAACCCTCTTTGTATTTGTACAAAGACAGTACGTACAATTAGACAACACTGATTGCTAAAAGAAAGAACAAGAACAATGACTGTTTGAATGGTGTTACCGAGATAAGAAATACCATATATTGTGTTGTTACCTTGGATTATGTCCATTATTATTCTTTTTCGTAAAATTGGATGCCACGTCTTTTGTTTGTCTTTGTTATTACTTTGGGCAAAGCATTAGGTTTTACATTTTATTTGGGCATAAAGGCAGACAGACGTGCTAAACTTTTTTGGTTCTGGGTTGGACAATGACAAATGCGTTGGAGCATCTAATGGTTTGATGATATGTACAATAGTGCATACAGTCTGTAATGAATGCATATAAATGTTCGGTGGGCATTTTGTTTTACAATGTTCGGTCGTGAATTGGAGCATGCATTATTGCTTTGAAAGGAACCGTCTCATCCAATCGTACGCTCTTACCAAATACAAAATGACGCATGATTTTGATTGGTCTATCAAACAGTCCGCTTTAACGAAGGCCCACCTAAGATCTTATAACAAAGATAATTAGTCGGAACAGAGCACTTTGTTAAATCGACTTTACTCTGTATTCTATATTAGCGCACTTTTTCAGACGTCAAAATTATTATTTTTAATAAAATGAGCTGTTTTGTGAGCTCAAAAAGTATTATCCATAAATAATCTAGTTAATTGTAAAATATATTGTTCTTAATTCATCTACTACCCGACTCCCATACACGTACTGTATGGCAACTCATGTAATTTATCAATCTCACACAGAACTTTAAAGTTAAACACGGAGCATTTGAGAGAGTTGGCTGCAATTCTGACAAACTGTTGTGCGTCGTCTATAAAGAATGCAAAGCTGAGAATGAATAGAATAACAGAACCATTAATTGCTACTGAAATTTGATAAAAGAAATTGTGAAAATTGATTCACTATGGCACTAAAAGCCCGCTGTGAGCACAACATGTGGGTTAGAACGCTGGAAAAAGAAGCATTAGTATATTTATTTACAAAATCTTGCATTTGTTAAATATTGTTCTCAACACTTCTATGAACTTCGTTGAATAGAATTAGAATGAATGGAATATGCAATGCTGTTTGACGATGGATATTTGTAATTCAGACATCCGATACGGTCCTTTTCCTCTGCGTTTGATACGTTTGTGGTCATTGCACAACACATGACAAGCGCCATTCAAACTTGACCAATGCCACATGAAGCTTACTCTGTTACTATTATTAGTATTAAACTGTCTACTGGTTTATTCAATCGTTATCCTAGATAGACTTAAATTCTGCTTCATTAATACTACCAATACAAGTAAAGGCCGTTATAAGAAACTCTCGATAAAAGAGATTGAGCACATAAGAAGAAATATTTCCCGACTCGAACCGGGTTTTATAGCTCTATAAAAAAGATTTCCAATAATCAAATATAATAAAATAAGTCGCTATATAAGAAACTCCCTGTATTCGATAAAAGAAAGATACAAGAAATGTTACGCTTTATACAAAAATAACAAAGCTTTTAAACAGTCTTTTTCATTCTCCATATTCCTGGCCGAATATCAAAAAAGAATTCCACAACAGACATGCAATCTTGTAATGAATCGAATAGACAACCTGAAGCAAAGAGAGGCAAATCAATAATCATAAAAATGGAAAAGTTTGCAAAAACAGCAGTAGTAACTTTAACAGGAACGAGCCCAAAAGGCTGAAATTTGTCGAGTCAAAGAACAAAATAAATATTTCTGGAGGACTTTTATTATTTAACCACGCAATAACTTAATCGAGTTAATTAGTTAACTAAAGTTTTGTATACTGCTATTTATTACTGTATGAAATAAAGTCTATAAAAGAAATCGGTTCAGTTTGGTTGATAATGAACCGACAGCTTTCTCATAACGGGTTTCACTCGTATTATTAAATATCTAAAAATCATTTGGTACCTTTCGAAAGTAGGTTTATCTATTACAGAAATCTGTTCTCTTATTTTGTCATTACTCTTGCATACAGTCAAACCTCGATATAGTGAAGCCTCGATATAGTGAATTTCGCGCTATAGTAAAGAATTCCTCTGATCCAAAAACAGCATTTAGTATAAACTTTACTATATTGAAAGATTTCGATACAGTGAATTTTCGATATAGTGAAGAAAAATGCCCGTCCCGCTGACTTCACTATATCGAGGTTTGACTGTACTATTGCACTATTACTATATAATTTTATAATGGGTAAATTAGCATAATAGCTAATGCTCTCCAAAATTATGATAGTAGTGAATCTTTGTTAATTTCAAAATTGGAGGTTTTAGTTTAGGATTATCAGTTAATTCCTCAATTATAATTACTGGCTTTTTATATTATTGTCTTATTATTATGGAAAAACCATCTTATTTGTATATTACTTTTTGTCCCCCTTTTTTTTAGCTTAAATTAATTTCACTTTCTCAATGATTATGATAGCATTACTATTACTGATGCTTGCAAACACAACATATTCCAAGAAACATTTCTTTCTCTTTGCGGTTTATGACGTTGATCCAGTTTCCAATATAGTGTAACATTTGCGAACAACAACAACAGCACTATTTATGCATCTGTGCATGAATATCACCTGCCATATTACTTGGACTTAGAATGAAACGCTTTGTTGATAGTTTGTGGAAATAGTCATGCAGACACGTGTTCAATTTGACAAACCTATGCAAATCAACTCCTTTGGATCATGGGTTTTCCCCTACCCTTTCCAAAATGCTCCCTTCCATTCTCATCATTATTCTATTAATTCTGCCTTTCCCGCTCTTCCTGTACACATTTCCTGATATACTCTACAAATCTTTGTTGTCTGTACTTCATCTGTTTTACAATATTCAAAGATTCACATCGTCTCTCGCACAAATACGTAAACCAAGGATCACGGTATCATATGACACAATAAAACGGGATATAAACATAGTCGATAGGATTCCAAAGCATTTGGCTGTAATCTATTGGAGAAAGATAGAAGGAGGAGAAGAAGAAGAAAAAGAAAAAGGCAGTGGAGAGCAAGTGGAAATTGGTTATAGGGAAATTGGAAAATTAGCGTGCTGGGCCGCGAGTGCTGGGATTAAAGTTTTAAGTATCTACGAGCCGGAAGGTAGAGTATATGCTTGCTTGAATATGTAAGGGAGAGGTGTGGGTAAATGAGTAAAGTATGGTATCTTTTTGATTTGTAGGTAAGCTCAAGAGAATCGTTCAACAATTGCAGCACCATGTTGATGCCGAAGCGAGACGGTTCTTTGCAAGAGAGGGGAACATACCAATACTACGGGTTTCTGTCGTATATAATAGCTCGTCGATGGAAGACATACAAGCAGGTTTGCTAAGCTGTGAAAGTTTATTCGTCGCAATCATGTCAATATATTAACTCATTTCATGTTGGCCAATAAAGATCTCCAAATAATACTATTATCTCGATCAGACGGCCGTGGACGTATAGTTGAAGTGACAAAGTCACTAGCATCCGAGACATTACAAGGCAACCTTCAAAGTGACGCTATAGACGTCGAGAGGATTGATCAGGCTTTCAGTGGTAACTAACATTCTCCTTGTAAACAACGAAAGACGTTGATCTATGGACTAATGTGTAATTCTAATTTCAACAGATTCTCATTTTACTGAACCACAGCAGTTGATCATGTTTTCTCCAGAGATTGATTTGCAAGGTTTTCCTCCATGGCAGTTGAGATTAACAGAAATCTTGTGAGTCTAAATTGGATCATCTTGATAATTGCTGGCGTTGCACCCTTAGCTGACCGATATCTTTTTTTTTAGTCATGTCGCTGGCAACAAGCATTTTGACTATTCAGTTTTCCGAAAAGCATTAATTAAATATGCAAAAATAGACAAAAGATTTGGACGATAATTTATTAAATAGTCTAATATTCTATGTTATTCAAACTTAATTCCTTGAGCCAATGGCAAGATTCCAGAATAGTTTATAGTACAAGTAGCTCGTCGCATATACTATCACGATAATAATAATTATTATTCGTTAATGCGCAATGTTAGATGTAAATCAAGGAACAATTTTTTGCGAGAAGTGTATCTAAAACGAACCTGCTTCCAACTATCCGAACCAGCCTCACGGCCTCCACCTGTTTCTTTTTCTCCTCCAAAGGCACCGCCTATTTCGGCGCCATTCGTTGGGACATTTATGTTGACTATGCCTGAATCAGCACCCGCTGGACTGTAATAAGAATCGAGCGTGTTTTTAACGGGCTGACACGCCACTTGTTCAAGCATATACGTCGTAAAAATACTAATATCTTACCCAATCCACTTGAATATATTTTCCGGTTTAGTCGTAAATAAGCTACTACTCAAGCCTTGCTTAACCGAGTTATTCATAGCTATAGCATCATCGAGTTCCTATCCAAAAAACCTGTATTAGATACTCCACTACATTGACGGCACTCTAAACCATGTTACTTTCTGTGATATAATTTAACTCACCGTAAATTTGAATACATGAAGAATGGGCACAAATATCTCATTCTGCACTACTGGCGCATCATGAGATATACGCGTCAAAGTGGGTACGACATAATTACCCTTTAGATCGTCTAAAACTTGTCCACCAAAGATAATCTCTCCATTCTGGTCCAAGACATCTTTTATTCCTTTCCTATAAGCATTCACAGCAGCCTTTGTATGTAATGGTCCACATAAAACTCCTGCCTCAAGCGGATTACCTATCTTGACCTGCGTATACGCCTTGACCAGTTTCTCAAGAAATTCGTCATAAATCGCTTCGTGTAAAAACAGCCTTCTAGTAGTAGTACACCTCTGGCCAGCGGTACCAACAGCAGCGAAAAGTACGCTTCTCAAAGCTAACACCTGATCCGCATCATCCATTACAATAATGGCATTATTACCCCCCAACTCCAGCAAACACTTTCCAAATCTTTCCTGCACTATCTGTCCCACACGCCGCCCAACTGCAGTACTTCCAGTAAAGCTAACAAGATTGACACGACTATCTTCAGCGATAGCCTCACCGACATCAGCACCACCGCAAACGAGGGAGCAGATGGAACCGGGGAGGGCATTGCGGGAGAGAACACTAGAGAGTAGCTTAGTCACGGCAACAGATGTAAGGTTGGTGGTCGGTGAGCCTTTCCATATTACCGGATTGCCACAAACGAGCGAAATGGCCGAGTTCCAGCCATAGACGGCTACTGGAAAGTTGAAAGCAGTTATTACGCCCACAATACCAAGCGGGTTCCATTGCTCGGCCATAAAGTGACCTGGTCCTGAATTTTGGAAATGACATGGTAGACAGATTAGTAGACGAAAGAAATCCTGTAATTGTAAACTATTTTAATGTATAATATGCATCGTATAATACCATATGAAGCACAGAATATACTATGTAATACGTAAGATTCACAATAAACGAATATAGAACGGACGTTTGTTAGCCGCACGTACGTACGTTTCTGCTAAACGTGCATCATCATTACAAAAACACTTACTCTCACTAGGTAATATCTTTCCGCTAAACATCCGACTCAAACCAACAGCATAGTCCGTCATGTCAATGTATTCCTGCACCTCTCCGCTACCCTCTGGCAATATTTTACCCATTTCCAACGAAACGAGTTTACCCAAATCTTCGCGTTTGGCGAATAGCGCATCACGCATTTGACGGACTATTTCACCTCTTTGAGGAGCCGGGAGCTGATAAAGCAATAATAATAATAATAAATAAATAAATTACAGATTGAGATTGAGGTTGAGACCCAAAGTGTTGGGACTATATCTTTGATGTGTTACCTGGGACCAAACGTGTTTCGCTTCTTCAACTTTTTCCATTGTTTCTGCTAAATCCTTGGTTGTACCCTGTGAGACAAATTGACTTAGCGATAATCCGTCTCCAATGACTTGCTATTTAAATTAATGAAATAAAAGAAACAGACAACTCACCACTCTAACTCTTCCTAACACTGTTCCATCGATCGGGCTAATTGATTCCACAACTTCTCCGCTGCCACCCCAAGATCCGTTATAGACTCCATAGTTCTCTTCTCCCAAGTCAAGTGCCGCCAATAAATCCTTATGTGTTGTCGAGTATTTACGCGTCTTAAGAGATAAATTTAAATTGTACGCAGGAAAAACAGGTATTCTAGTGTTCAGGTAAGGTTGAGAGGCTAGAGAGAGATAACGGAGACGGAAACCCATAATTGAGAAATTGGATCAGGGGACATTTTTAATTCGACATTTTTTATCCTATTTTCCACGATAACGTGATGCTGGGAATGTAAAAATCCAGTTAGACGAAATTTTTTGTGAACAGAATATACTGGTAGAATAATGAGAACTTGCCATCTATTGTCAAAACTATCCAACAAAGTTGGATTCCCCAGAATACAAAGGCCGGCCTACATTCTATCGCGGAGTTTGTGGTCATCATATACTGCAAGCCACCCAACTTGCTTTACACCATCTACATTATCTATCCGCTCGCCAGATATATGCATAGCGATCGTATCAAACACTTTTTCTCATGCAGAGCTCGAATCGATTCCCAAACATCTTACCACTTTATTAAATCCCAAGCTTTTGATTGGTTGCGTGGTAGACAAGATCCATGGAAATTTACCAGACGGCAATGGGGTATCGCTTCTAGTTGGCGACTTGTCTTTAAACAAATCTGTATCAATTTCAGAGTTTTCTTATGAAATTGAAGGCGACAGAAGGCTATTTAAAACAAGTAATGTTGGAAGGTGGTTTAGCAATAACGAATCTAGAAATAGAGATGACATTGGAAAATTGTTTGATATGGGAAAGTTTGAATTGCCATCTGCTGCTCCGAGTGAAAAGGATCTGCCTAGTGGGTTGAAAAAGTTGAAAGAAAGTGGAAGTGGAGAAGGACTTTTGTTTATGTTTAGTGACATGGAACCCCATTTGCTGTTGAGGTCATTAGATCATCATTTTCCAGCATATAAAAAGGTAATAACAAGTACTATGATTATGTTGTCCAAGATCAAGAATATTTAATTCTACTCGTTAACCCAGTTAGGCATCATCGGCACATCTACTCCATTCACAACAGCGCGACCAGTTACCTTGTTTTATAATGAGCATGTACTATCTCAGGGCGTTGTTGGGTTCTCGCTGACACCAACCAGTATCGGAGATATCGCTCTTCAGCATAGTTCACTAAGTCCGTTTGGCGATATAATGAAGATAACAAAGTGTCGAGGAAATATCATACTAGAATTGGATGGACTTAATGCAACTCGGCTTCTACTCGATTCTTTACGCGCTGGGAATGCTGATGTATCGAAGGAGACTGAATTATACTTGGGCATATATCCACCGAGTGTTGATAGATATGATGTGGGTAAAGTAGAACTGTAGAGATATATATACAATATTCAACATTCGAAATTTGATTAGACTTCCGACGACCGTCTAGGATTCTACTTTGATAATAAGTAAGATAACAAGCGGCGATCCAGCGAAAGGAAGTATGGCAATAGATACAATAGATGATTTACAAGTAAATCAATGCGTCAAGGTAAGTTTGATAGCTTTCAAAATTAATCATCCTTCCCAATGTAAAAGCTAACTCCCCTTCCCACATCCCCAAGTTCATGTATAGGTCTACAGGCGAACCCACAAAAATAATGAAGGATCATACTCAAAACTCTAAAGGTTAGTCGTAATCGTTGAAGCATACCGCCATATCTCAAAATGCTCACTTTTCCCCAAAAAAACTAGAAAGTTCAATAAATCTCATTTTATCTGTATCTGATCCTGAAGACTGTCAGAATTCCACTATTAAAAATCCGGATGAACCAAAAGTATCAAAAAGCAACACTTTTGGTGGTATCAGCGAAAATGGCATTATCATTGGTCATGGTGGTGTTGAAGGATCGTGGGTATGCAATATACCAAACTCAATGATCACAACTAGATTGAATAAATAAACACACATAGACAAGTAAATGCAAATGCAAACTCATTTCTAGGTTGTCCAAGTTCTATCGTTTCTGTATGTGCACTTCTTTTCCTATCTCTCCCTGCTCCTCTTCATCATCACTTAGCAAAAACACTTCAATCTGCCTCCTAAGCTCTTCCTGTCTTTGTTCATTCACCTTTTCGGCAACGTAAGGAGGAAACGTAACATCTCCAACATCTCTCATGTTTACTCTACACCCATAGCAAAGTAGGTCGCTTATATCTGTGTTGGCTCTTTTCACTGGCTTTGAGCACTCTGATGATGTGACATTACAACACCCGTCAGAAAAAGAAGAAGAGCAAGTGGGCATGGATGTATATGCAGCTGAATTCGTATTTGCGACAGTGAATCTATCTTGCCATGATTTCGTGTTCGGTTGACGTGGCCTTTTGAAATATAAACGATCAGCTTGGTGGCAACAGATTTACAGTGTATGTTCTTGTACTCACATTAAACATATTATGCACTTTTCATCTTGCATTAATTCGGACGGTTTAAGCTTTGCCGCTGTTCTTGCAACAGTACTTACTGTTGATGGATAGTCCCTTTCTAATCCGACAATAAAGTCTAAGTAGAAATATATTGTAATCATTGTAATAGCCGAAGCATAACGAGTGTCAAAAGCAAGTTTCGCCCTTGTCAAACTTTCTAACCTTCGGTCAGTCTTTCGATACTAGCCTTAGGTGGGAGCATGGTGGTCAAGGAAGGAATGAATACACTGTCCAAATGTAAGAATTGGTTATATAATCCAATCTCTTTGCTTAGCATATCCTTCATCGGCCTCATGATTTTCGTATCTAGTTGGATCATAATGATAGTAACTATAAGTTTTAAGAAAGATAGAATGACGTCAATGTAATATCTACCTCCAAACCACTGTGTCTCCCCAGCTATCTCAAGCGGCAAACTAAATCCTCGTCCTTTACTTGTTAAAGAAATGGTTTTTATCGCCAAACGCGTCGACGAATCTCCCAGAAACAATCTTGTACAGCTGGAGGAAGGCGTGTGCCGTCAGTAGTTATGAAAGTAATGCAGCAAATAATATACAATATAATCAACATTACTTGTCTGCTTACTCTTTTCTCTGGGCATATTGAAGTAACAGGCTCAACTTCAAAAAACAATAAAAATCTTCTTTAACTGTCGTTTTACTCGCACCGTCAAGTAGGGCCTTTAATTTATCTCTATTAGATGTGTTTTCCGACTGTTGTTGAATACTGTGAAACAATTCTGTTACGAATTAGTCTATAAGATTTATGTAAAGACATACGCAGGCACGCGTACCGTGATATACTAACCTTGAGATGGCTTTCTATGGACGCCGTCAGTAGATATCTTGATTACATTGTCGTATATTCCAGAGGTTGTATAGTCTGGTGAGAAAATATCTTCCAAGGGAATCCTCATGATATTATAGTTCAACTTTTGTGCCATCTGTAATACATTCTCGACTGTGTCTTTCTAAAACAAATACCGGATAAATTTTCATGAGGCTGCACGACCACAGTTGCATAGTCGAAAAGCATTTACCTCTCCTCCAACAATTGTTGATTCGTCAATGAAACAAACTTCGACGCTTTTAAATACTTGCTTTTTCGATTTCTTATGAGGTTCTTCTCGATTATATTCATAGAGCAACTGTAACATAGCCCTGTAGTAAAAGTGTAAAATATAACCATACGGAGCAAAATCATAGCGTCTATTTGCAAGAGTCTCGAGAAAACATACCTAGACGATGATCCTCCAGATAATGCTACGAGTACTTTCTCTGCGCCGGGCTTTAAAGATGCTTTCTCCATGTTTTTTCTGAACTTTCCGACAAATACATAAATAAAGCATTGCCTGTAAATGAAAGACGGATATGTTAATACAAATGTGCGTACAATCAATAGTTTAGACTGGCCTTCGTATAATAGAAAGAAGTGACCTTGATCGTACCTACAATATACGGAATGACGGATCAATACTGTAGCTGGGGAAGATTTGCACTTTATACATATTTTCTGATTGGGTTTCGGTTCTATACGAAGGACTAATTGTGAGCGACGCGCCTAGAAGAATGAAGATCTTTATTAGGTACCTTTCAACAGCACGGGTTCCTCTACGCTGCACATTTTCACTTATTATTGAGAGTTTCGAAAACTTTTGATGATCGACAAATATTTTAGGAATAGGGTGTCACTACCTAAAAGAAAGTAATTTTGATCACATTCTGTACCACGGTGTTAAATGTTCCCACAATGTCGAAGTGCATTAATCACACACTGCAAATCCAGAGATTAAAGAAAATTGCGGGATTTGTTTAACGCTAATCGTATGATCTGGTGATAAATGATGCATAATTTACAAAAAGGGCATAATTATTTGCAATTTTTACAATTCAACATTTTGTATGTCCACCTTCAGCAGAAATAACAGCTTGAATTCTGCGAGGCATATATTTAATTAAATGACGATATGATTCCTTTGGGATCACTGCCCATTCTTCTGTAACCATCTCTTCTAATTCATGAATATTAGATGGTGGAGAGTTATGTTTTCGAAGTCCTGACTCGACAAGAGACCAAAGTTCCTCGATGGGGTTTAGCTCAGACTCTGTGGTAAATGCTCCACTTTTTGTAAGCACAAGGCAACTCCGGAATAAGTTCTTTTCTAAGCTTCATATTATGCGGTAATAATTGCACTTTTTTAAACCTCTATATTTAAAGAACTAGCAAATTTTTACGCAAAACAAATAGCATTTGTTTTGTTGATCGGTATATAAAATAATAAAACAAAGCGCGTCGTAATGAAATTATGCATCATTTATTTCACCCCCCATGTATGCGTCATAAGAGGCTTCCGACACTCCAATTTGTTGCATTATAGATTGGTGGAAAAACAAGTTAAATATTTTAGTGGATGGATTTAGAAAGAAGTCGAAAAATAATAATAATAAATACTTACAACCGAGAAAGTATCTTAACAAAAAATGATGTCAGAGCATCCGGAGGTGTTGATATTAGACTTAGTTGCTTTCTTTCAAACTATCGTTCAGCTTCATCAACTACTTTATTTTAATCTTGTTTAGTTCCTTTCCTAATTCCGCAAGAGACTTCTATAATTGCACATAAATTAATAAATTAACATAATATATTTATATTTACTACATTCATGCTCTCCTTACCTGTGATAGACAGTTCAGCCACCTCTCTACTGGTTGTAGTTGTTCCAGAATAGTCCAATCACTTCCAAATTTTCCATATGCCAACAGACTTGGGAATATTTAATATTGTATTTAGCTCAGATAATCCTGTTTTGGATAACTCCCATTTTACTAATATGGCAATATCTGACATCTCCATTATTTGCCAAAATAAGGCCTGTCAAAAGAAAAGAGAAATGAGACTGAAAATTTATGTTAAAGCATCAAATGCAAAATATATACCCGTCAGTATGTAATATGGGATTTTCAGCTAATGTTTCATACTGATTAATTATTTCTGTAGCCCATGGAATCAAACTCCCAACATATGTCTTCCTTATTCTTAATCTTAAAGTTGAAAGAATGATTTAGTATTAGTGAAATGCTAGAGGTGCAAGCAGAATCATGTATCCTAACCTTGAATGATGTAATTCTCTGGGCTTTATTGTCAGTAGCCTCATAGTTAGGTTTTGTGCTATCAATATAGTCCTTCCTAACCTATGAGCAAGAGCATCAATAGACTCAATATGACTTAACCATATACTCTGCACTGTTACAGGTGATTCTGCTTGTCTCGCAGCAATATGTGCAAACCAGATTGCCTGATAAGCTATTGCTTTGAAGTAGCAGAATTGTCGTTGGCTCATTTCATAGCAGACCACATCTACATAGTACTAGAAAAGGAACGTCAAACAAGCAGTTCATCACTGGCAACTAGCAGTCCCAGCTTGCACTCGAAAAGGAAGCATCGAACATGCAGTTCATCACTAGCAACTAGCAGTCCCAGCTTGCGCTACGTTGAACATAAACAAGCAAGTTCATCACTGGCAACTAGCGGTCCCAGCTTGCGTTTAAAAAACAACTAATAACTACCTTCCAGCGGTCAAGGCTTTTCTGCTAAATCCGGAATCTGAAGCTGTGATGTCTCGAAGATTCTTTTTTACTTTATCAAGTACATATTTCCAATCTTTTCGTTCCAGCTTATCACGATAATACTTTACTATATTAGCACACGTCCAGTCTATAAATGTGGTATGGCGATAAAAATCCATGAGTGTGGGTTTACGCTTGGAAATTTCTGGGTTTATATACTGTATATATAGTACAAAGCCACGAACGAGCGAATTTCCATAAATGGGTAGATTGCGAATTACTTGAATAATCACATGAGGGATAATACGTACGCTGTTTCATAATTCAATGCGTAATTGGCTGATTTATTTTATTTTTGATGCACTTCGAGACACTCAGTCCAGAACTCAGTTGTTTCAGTCCAGAAGTGAGACAGGTCCCCAAATGAGGTACAACAGCAACATGGATAATTGGATTTTGTTCCCAATTAATGTTTTGTTTGATAGTTGCACCTTCAGTTCTTTGGATAGATTTCACGCTGTGTTTTATAGCTTTTACAATGAAAATATTTCTATACAATTACAACGCAAAATTGACGAGAAAATTAAAAATGAAACAAAAAATATAACAGAGGCGGCATATGAAGATTGACAATTATTAAACATGCCAGCAACTCAATTATTTTGTATGTTTATTAATACTGTGCGATATTTACTACCGCACGTCAATAGTTAGTATTTTATTCTATTGTTGCCAAATTTTATATGTAAGTTTTCCGCATAGTAATAGGGCTTTTTATTTTAATGTTCCTCTCATATAAATTTACCTCAATATAATAAACACGAATATAAGAGTGCTGAACAAATAAATGCAAAACCTACCATTTATCTAAAAAATAATCCGTCGCTTTAAAAAATTATCGCGTCCATATCACAGACAATATATATTATTCCATAAAATGTGAACCGATCAAAGAAAAGGATTGTTCAAGACAAAGCCATTTCTAATTTAGATGATAACGATAATGGTAATTATCAAGTGTTTTAAATTTGCCATTAAATGACACTCGGTTCCTCAGAAGACAATGGCGAAGCTTTTCAGAAACTCAAGCAGATTTTAAAATGTGCGCTACTAGAAGACAACTTGCAGACATTATAGTTAGCGGCTTAAAGTAGACGCAGATGTGTTGTATGCCAAATCGGAATAATACAGAGAATCAGTAACAATAATATAACATACTTCGACATTAATAATATTACCTTTGCTGCTATTACCTACGTATATAACTCACACTATAAACTGCTGATGCTTAATTTTATATGGATTTTAATGAAACAATCAATAGATCATTGTGGAATGAGATCATGTAACCAGAGATTCTTATTCGCCTCTGTTCGTATAACAAAATAGCACACTGACATGTAAGTTTACACACAAACGGCTGACCAACCGGATTGCATGTATCAAAAATTTATACAACTTTTGGGGACTCGTATGATTTATTACATATACAATTAAAAACATCAGTCACTACATAGATGATCTATGACTATATTTGAGATATTCAAATGATGAACTAACTCTAATAGATCGGGAATACGAAACACTCTTAATGATATAGATGTTGCCCCATGACATTTGAAATCGTGGCTTATAATATGTAACTAAGAAACAACATGTCCAAGAACTTGACACAGCAATTAGACAAGACTGAAGTAGAATGCAAACTATATTCATCATTCTATAATTCCGATCTGACATACAACAGTATCCTACATTGCAAAAAAGCTTCGAGTTGTTTAGAATTCCAAACACATTTGACAATGCGAATGACTTTCGAAATGCATTAAAAAGTGAATTTGATAGTTGTGTATCATTTTTCCTATTGTCGTGCCGACTATCACGGGAGAGCAAGTAATATTCGACATTAGGAATTTGGCTAGTTTCGGCAGAGCGTGGCGTCTCCTTCTCCAGGTAAATCTCGGGTTACAGTTAGTGACCTTGTCCAATCAAGGCTTTGCACTTACGAAAACCTTCCCGTCGTAGTAGTAGAGTGTCGCTAATCCTGGATATATTAATTGTACTCGAGTAACTCTGTCGGCTCCTAAGATGGGATTAATTCTTAGCAATATGCATTTTTTAAAAAACAACGATAACTAATAGTACTTAAAACTTCAATAATAACCTTTCCTAGGTCGTTGACGTTTTAATTTTGGAGGCTTCACATCATTCGATCCACTGTTTGGAGCAGGATGCTTAGATGACACAAGGTTGTCACCCTGCAAGGTTAACACTGTGTCAGGAAGGTCACAACGCTTGATTGTGAGATTGTTGTAATCTTTGCTGTAGACAACATGCCAGACATTTGAGAGTACTTCTTTAGTGATTCTTGGGTTTGACTGTCGGTTCAAGAGAGGGCTGTCATCTTTATACTGACGGCAGAAGTTGATAATAACCCAATGACACAAATTGAGGATATGGCCCACTTGACTGAGGTGTTTACATAAAGGTCTAAGCGTCCACTAGTGCCAACACTAGTACTGATTGATGAATTATCTGGAGCTACTGTTCGGCAGGTGCGAAACATCCCAATCACTTTCAAGGTTACAACATGGATATGCTGGACTGGATACTTTACTAGGTTCAATCTTTGTTGGATCTCGCAAAAAGTGAATTCCGCATAGTCTATCGTGGGGTACAATAGTATTTAATTATAATAATGCGCATCTACATAACAATTAATTATCGTAATGTGCCACTCGAATAATCGCGGGACAAGAGGCGATTATTCTTCATCGATATAGGGATTAGCGGTTTCTCAGTTATACCGATAAGTTACCAGGAAATGAATGATGCATTTTGTGCGATGTTTGTACTCCCACTATGTTTGTACCGCTACTTGGCACTGCGCTAGTGTTACTGTCGATCGTATTGATTGCTGCGGCATCGTCGGAGTACTATACAGGTACGGTAGATTGATAATCAGGATATTATCCATCTGTCATATACACAACGCTTTTTAGGGTAGAACAATTGGAGGAGAAGTACAACTTGAGACACCGGATTTCAAGTCCGTTATACGCAACTAATTATTATAAGCATGCTGTTAAATAAGATTCCAATCCTTCCATTCTTGCTACTTTGTATATACCTCGTTTAAAAGTGCCAAGCATTTATGGCCCGATTAGTTTAAATAAAAAACAATTACAATACCGCGCCTGAACGTATGAGAGATAATCGGCATTCAAGCAAAAAAAAAATATATAGCAATAAAGTATAAACTGGCAAAAACAGACATTTTGAGACAACAAAAATTTATTGTCGTGACTTAAGCGCGGTATATTATTCGGGCTCGACAATAAATTTTGAAATCTCCTCAATGGTCGTTTCTTTGTCGCTGAGTTGGTTATCGGATGCTGATTGATAGATTTGGTTGTCAATACAAAGCAGTTTCATTACAGTTTATTATGTCTTTTTGAATACTCCTAATTCGCCATTCGTAAGTAGCTGATACAGTAAGAGGTATTGGTACAAAACAGAAATTGAATTAAAAAATGACTGTTTGTGAAACGCTTGATTGCTTGGTAATTTATCGAGTTTGCTCTGACTTGGAAAATTGAGGGAAGAATATTGGCACGAAAAGCATGGTTCAAAGAAACGGACCGATTTTTTGCTTTTGGATTTATGGTTAGTATTAGGTTTTATTCTACAAGGTATAATCGTATACCAGAAAGATATAAAAAACCTGTCATTATAATTCCGGTTGAACCTCCACGGACTCTTTCACTTGTACATCGTGTATACAATTCATCCGTGTAACGAGTCGGATAACTTCCGGATTATCCGGGTATCAAATATTAGTATCTGATAATCGATATGCACAGCGCATGTAACAGGTAAACTTGGAAATAAAGTTTTGCGCCATTGAATACGTCGATTTAGAACTTGGTTATTTCTTTATCGTTTCTTTTTTGGCTAATGCACTACCCAGCAAAAAATAATATGGAGAAAACCTATTCTAAACGATGAGTTATTTATAACAGCGGAGGGCATTTTCAGTTGCATATAAGAATAGTGGACACTTAATTTTTCAATTCTCTCGAAAACATGTATGCTCAATCAAAACTGTCGAACATTCAACTTCTGCTATCAATCATCCTCTTGTTTCCTCTTCTGGTTGATGCTCTTCTTCCTACCAGTACGGATGACGAATCGGACCCAATTAGCGAATCGGTCTTTGATTTGATGGCCACTGTTCTAATAGCATCAATTCTAACAATTGATGTCGATCGTATAGAACGTAGAAAAAAGCTTCTACAAAGGACATTCTTCTCTACCAGCCTATTTATTACATTGGGAATAATTTCTCCCATGCAAATTTGGTTTTGCGCCAGAGCTTACAAAGTTACAAAAGATATCTTTTTTATTATATATCTTATAACAACACTTTTGTCGGGCGTTCTTCTATACGGATTCAATGCTGTTATGATATGTTGCATGCGAGATATACCCGTAAAATACTTTGACCTACTTCCTACATTTTTAACCTGTACATGTATGTTCGGCAATGACTTGGTTTTCGGCTTTCTGGCTGTGAGACGAGGATACGTGAATTCGTCGACTTACTGGTTTGTGTTTGGACCCGTTATCCTAGCATTTTTTATTGGTGTAGGGATATTCATATATGTTCTAAACTGGGAACTGACATCTGATGATTATATGAAAGAGGATGAAAAGCTTAAAAAAATGTTTAAAGTTTACGGGAGAAAATCTCGAAGGGCAACATGGATAATTGGATTTTGTTCCCAATTAATGTTTTGTTTGATAGTTGCACCTTCAGTTCTTTGGATAAAATTTCACCTTACGTTGGGTTTTATAGCTTTTACAATGGAAGATATTTCTATGAAATTACAACGTAAAATTGAGGAAACTGAGAATGAAGTAAAAAGTAGAACCGAGTTGGCTAATGAAAAAGGGATTGTGATTGAAGTTGTTAACTTGAATTAGATACCAACGACTTAACTATATTGTATATTTTTATTAATGACATTAAATAGTTTACTAATCAAATTTTGAAGTTATCTGCACAGTGTAGCATATATTATTTATTTATTTTATTATTGCGAATCATAGAAAGTTTTTTTTTTTTTAACTTCATCCAAAATCCAATGTATCAATAATAGAATAAATTTATATCAGTCTGTAACTTAGGTTTTCAAGAATCTGCATGTAAGTTTTGAAACATTTTAGCTTTCGGGCAATAAATAGACAATTGCATTAAAATCAATTTGCCAGTCTACAATTTTGACGTTTTAATATTATTTTAGTATTGGTTGGCCATTTATTATTATAGATGCCTCAACTCTTCTTGGCATGCTTTCCATTGAATTGGAATCTGTTTTATAAGAATCTTTCAGAGCAGTCTCCAATTTTGTGGCGTTTTTGGGATGCCCGGTTTTTTAGCTGCGTTTCAATTGGATTAAGCTCAGGAGATTGAGATAGCAGTCAAGTAGAATTTTGTATATTCTCAATCGACAACATTTTTTGCATGAGCGTTGTCATTTTTCAAGCATAGACTTTACCATTAAAGTCACTTGAATTAATGGCAAAAGAATATACTGTAATCGTTAGAAAATAAGAAATAACAACGAAAGTGTTCTTTATCCGGTAAATATAAAAATCACAACCTTTTCCCTTGGTTCCTTCAAAAACTTTTACGCTTTCTATCAACGTACGCGTAAACAAACTAAGATGATTGTATTTGTCTCACAAACAATGTATATTGTTTCCTTAAAAAATGAACCAAAGCCAGTTTAAAACTAGATAATTTCAAGTTTTTGAATTTTGTCAGTATCTACCAATCGGTGACACTGATTCTAAATATTCCAACTTAGAAGACAAGATAAAGCTTTTCAAGAACTCAGACCGAATTGTAGACATCAAGTCACCGGAAAACTTGCACCCTCGAAAGGCGACATTATTGATATCGTAATAACGACAAGTAAACACTTAATATTAGAAACATACAACATTCTGGTTGGCCAACCACTTGTATATCTGCTTGGAAGAACCGTCCAACACTCGAGTTTCAGAGAGACAGAATAACCTTCAAATACAAGTAAAACCATATTTAAGTATTACATAGTGCAGATGTTTGATGTAATTCTGATCCAGGACGCTTTAAAAATACTTGGAAAAAGCAAAAAAAATATTCTAGAATTTCAGTTCATAAATGCAAAAGCAAATGAATCCACTACTTGGTCATTTTATTATTACTATTAGCTATGTGTTATTGTCCGCAGTCTGACATTTTATTATGCGGTATGCTGCCCCCTGTAATGCTTTTCCATCCGCCTACGTCACCTTATACGTTTACCACTGCTTTTTTCTTTTTGGTTCTGTCACATTTTTTAATAACACGTAAACAATAATACTGATGAAACGCTTCTTTTCGCGACGGACTTTTTTAACGGTTTCCGTTTTCCTAGATACTATTACTATTAAAATTAATAATATGCAGTGTATCTAGAAAAAAACGGTGGTAGCAAAAAAATTATGTTTTTCTACAACCACATAATGTAATTAGATAAATTTAGGCATATTTGTCTTTGTGCTGTAAAATTAGTATCTTTTTTTTTCGCATGTGTCGCCAAACAAATTGATGAGAGATTATTATGTGTTTCACTGCAATTTGACGAGTCAAATGGCATTGTTATAGCAAACAGCTTGCCAAATAGAACATGCCAAGCTTTGAGTAATTTTCGATAGATGTCTACTACCCTTTTTGCGTTGCATTCTTTGAGCTTGCGAAGACTGTACGTAGAGAATATCAGTATTTCTTTTGCCATTTTGTCAAAAGTGTAAAATGGGTTGTCGCTGAGTTTCAAATTTAGATTTAACCATGTTATTAAGCTCTACAAAGATAAACGTCTAAATCACTTCCTTATAGAAACTGGCAATAATCAAACCAGTAAACGAAGTAAAACAAATTTACCCTAATACAAACACACTCAACGGAAGTTTAAGAAATATAAGCAATTTGTAAACAACCGCGTTTTTTATTTACGAGTCAAAAAAATTTTATTTGCAAACCACTCGCACGCTGTATCAGTACAGGATCTTAATGGATGACTGTACTTAATGTATTATAATCGTAATAATAATAAAAGAGAATTGGAGTCCTTTACCTTGGCATTCATTTTGTCAACTGCTTTCTGATAATTTAGTCGACTTCTTTGAACGGTGAAGCCATCGAATAACTGCGCGTTGCATCTTTTCTATCAAAATAAATTTAAATTGAAATTGAGCTCAAGAATTGTATATTTGGGCATTTGTAACAACCAGCAAATTATAATTTGCGTATTGACACAACAAGTTGATTATTATTATTGTCAATAATTCTGAGTTTAATTATATGCCTACATATATCCAGTATTTGAAATTCCCTCTATGGAGTATCTCCTAATTCACCAGAATGTCATCATGAACTTTCTACACCAGTATCTTTAGCATCGGTCTTTCTTGCCTTGGCAGTAGAACAACTTACAAGTGAAGAGGCAGGCAACTCAATTATAAAACGCGTGGAGAAGACAGTAAACAAGCGTTTGTTTTTTATTTTATAACGCAAAAATAGAAATGTTACATTCAATTGCGCCATCTGTATGAAATTAAAATATATGACCGTCAATTACAACTCTTTTTTAATAACCGGTTTATAACAAAACGCTGCTACTTACAACTTTAATTGCCTATCTTTCCCACCACTTGCAACCTTATCGCCGCTTGGACTCCAATCGACACTAAACACCTACAAATGTATTTAAAATACTTAGTACTGCACGAGAAATCTAACGGAACTTTCAGTCGACAAATACCTCATCCAAATGTCCAGGTAATTCAAACTTCATCTTCCTTGTTCTTACATCCCAGATTTTCAATGTGCTATCTTTGCTGGCACTTATGAGCATTCTACTGTCTGACGACCAACAAACTTGATACACAGGACCAACATGACCCCGCAACGAAGTTATAAATCTACGACACCCACCCAAATCCATGACAGTGTCAGAACAAGCCTTGTCTCAAAACAGTGTAACATGAAAACTTACTTTCCAGAATACCCATCCCATAACTTGACAGAATTATCGAAACCTGCACTGGCAATTAGTCGTCCATCCGGCGAAAAACTGACATGATTAACAAGTTTTTGATGTCCTGTTAGCCGTGCAACAGGTTTTTTACTGGTCGATGGCTCCCAAAAGAACATGGTAAAATCATCAGAGCCAGATACTAGTCGTTCGGGCTTTGTGCCCTTGGCTTCTTGGTATCGTTTCAAAGCCCATTCCTGAGCTAGTCACAATTATAAGAGTTTGGAACGTGCAAAACGATAAAGCAAATAAGTAAAACTGTGTTGACAAATAGTTCAAAACTAAAGCAATTTTCAATCGCTACCTTCTTGTTCATTCTTGGGTACTCTATTAGTATGGTCATAGGCGCCTGTTCTTAATACGAAATCTGTACTGAGTGCCATAGTGTTTACCCAATGTCCGTGTCCCTCCAACGTCCTCACAAGTTTCCCCTAATCAGACTGTCGTTGTTATCAAACATGCCGGTAATAACGCTAAAACACCTCCAATTATTTTACACATACCTCTTTAGTATCCCAAACTTTGATGGTCTTATCCTGACTTGACGAATACAATAACCCATCTCCACCCCATTTAATACACGTCACTGCGGCTGTATGCTGTGACATTGATAGTATTGTTCTTCTCAACTTGGTATTCCAGATACGAATCGTGCCGTCTTTTGAGGATGACGCTAAACGAGTACAACTAGGATTCCTGAGATAATTTTTTAAATAGTTAAATTTACACAGATTCATGCATTTCACAATAAATCAATAATAATGACGCGGCAATAGAAATAAAATAGTTACAAGTGAATTGGTTCCCACACAAGACAAGTAATCCATTTGGTATGCCCAAGCAGTGAATCTCCTAGTGCTGCCCCTGTAGATGGATCCCAAAGACGAACCTAAACAAAAATGCTTATAGTTCATGTTTGAGCTTTTTAGAGGCATTCATGGTAATTTCTGTAGTACTAACAGTCTTATCCATACTACCAGATGCGAGAACTTTGCCATCTGGTGACCATGCAATGCATAAAACCCAATTCTTATGACCAGATAATGTAAATTGCGGCGTTTCAGTGTTTAGATCCCATATTCGTACAGTTGTATCTCCTGAACAAAAGTGGCAATATTTTTGCAATTAGTTTTTTATATACGTATCAATGTAAATACTCCTTGCACTTCCCTTACCTCTGTGTGACAGAAATAAGAAAATCGTTCAAGAAATGCAAGGACGTATGTAGAGTTACGTTGCGATCTAGTGATACTATATACGTTGTTTGAGTATGAAATATACCTGAACCAGTTGCAAGTTGTGTGCCATCGGGGCTAAATGAAACAGATAGAATTGCCTCTGTGTGTCCTATTTCGTATCATAAAGGTGTATGTAATAAGCACCTTCTGAATAGAAAAAAAAAAATTTTTTTCCTGTTGTGCGCAAAACGGAGTGTTTGATATTGTCGAATAACTACCAGCTAGCGTTGATGTGCATCTTGTGACAGCCCTCACTTTAAATATCGCTTGCGGTCTATAGACTATTGTCAGTACATCTTCCGTAGATTTGTTTAATCCGACAATAATGTCCTTGTGGAGGGATGTGATGATTTCCGTCTCATCCACTGAGAACGCATATGGCAAAGATTCTTCCTAAATTCAATTCAGAATTAATATATATTTTCAAGTATAAAAATTTGCCATATATTAAGATCCCTCACATTATTTAAAAGCTGATTCACTAGCAATTGGAGTTGTTCTGGAGTGACATTAGCAGGTAAACTCAATGGTGGTCCACATGGTTCATCATCCACTGATTTCAGTTGGGCTATAATGTTTCCGAGGTTCTCGGATCCGTCTGAAACATTACTGTCGGGGTTGG